CATGATATGCTTATTTGACAGTCAATTCTTGTTTTGTAAAAGAGCAGGAAGTGTTGGCGTCAATACTATAAAACGCTCTTCGAAAGGCTGTGGCTGGTTCCCATACCAACCATTTTGAGTAAAACTCTAGAAATTTAATTTCTCTTCTTGAGTGCAATAGCACACAATTGATCTTTCTTCACCATATTTAAACAAACTTTTTGGTCCATATTGAGGGTACCATACCACCTTAAGTAACACTAACACTAAGTACCAGACAGCATAGAGGGTGGTAAAGGGTATTTTCGTGACTCATGATCAGTCCTTTTTTTTTCTCGTGAAATGTGAAATGGCTAATTTTTTCCTCATGAATCATGATTTCCATGGTTGCCATGAACCGTGATTTTCCAAAATGTTCTCTTTTATTTTCCGTGAAGCGTGAAATGCCAATGTTGTATTTTTTGTGAATTGTGAAAGGGCTGCTTTATTTTCCATGAAACGTGATCTATACCCCCTTTACCACCCTCTATTATGATTGAATTAAATACTGTTAACAATGCCTAATAACACAGTAAATACAGTTATGTTTATATTGATTATTTAAGTCATTTAATATATAATAAATCAGTCTATACAGTCTGATTTACACATACATGTACGTGTCTTGCAAATCAGTCTTCAGCTTCGGGAAAATGATATTTGATGTGCTCACCACTAACAAATCAAGATACACATATTTTGCTTAGACCTCATCCAATATAAATGAATTACTTTTTCCTTTTTTCCCTTTTATTGAACTGCCTGTGTTAATGTGTACAATTGCAGAGAAAAAAGAGAAAGGCAAAAAGCACTGGGTGAGTTTTTTCTTTGTTTACAACCAGTATGAACTTGCTGAATAAAATTATATAATATTTATGTGAAAAAATTCTGTGTTTAAAGTATTATCATGTAAACTGAAAGGTTAAAAAATAAAGAAAGTCAAAAAGTTAGGATCTATCACTTAAAAGGTGACAGTTGTGTAGGTTGGAGTAAATCTAAAGTTATGGGTTCCTTACAGCTACATATAGTGGGCCACTGCTGGCGCTTTACATATTTCTGGTTTCTGTTATGTGGATGGGTTGTAAGTCAATTACTGGTCATGAATGCCTTTAATACTATGCAGTTTACCAACACCTGTTTTAAATTACACCTCCTGGCTGAATAGCACGTAAAGAACTCAACACAATGATTGAGCCAGAGCTTGAACATGTTTGGCTTTACTGACCAGAACGTTTTTGAAATAAATGGAACATCTTGAAAGGTACATATAGTCCAAAATTTCCAAATGAAATATGCAAGTGGAAAATGTGCTTACCATTTGCAATTCTTCACTGCTATCTTGGATCCTTAGTATCTTTTGGTAAATTGGGGTTTTTTTAGTAAATGGTAAATGGCCAATCTGAACAGAACTTACCATCACGCATTGTTGCTTCCCATTTGTACAACTGCTGACAAACTAGCTTCTTCAACTTTGCTATAACCTTTTTTAGTGTAAAACCTCTGGTAAAGCCTGATAGTTTGGACAACTGGTGTAATTAGATCAATAAACAAGTAGCAATTCAGAGATTGCTGGTTAGCACTCTCTAACACTAGTGTTATTAATTATTTAAAGAATGATTTGCTTTAAAGTAAAGAATTGTTTCTTGTTTATGTTCAGGTCCATTGCAAGGAGGAAAGACCCTCATAGAATAGCATTTAAAGATGTCACAGAAGACATGATCCCAGCTACCATGGAGAAAACAAAACCAGTGAGAAATTGAACTGCAATATGTTTTAGAAAACACCCTGAAATAAAGCATGCACTAAGAGCTATACCTCTATGACTCTATGGAAAAACATAACCAGCACAAGCTGTTGATGTACTAATTGTAATGATGGCATAAGCAAAGACAAATAACATTTAAGCTTGAATTTAATATTCATAAACTAGACTGATTTTCCTTTCTTTTTTCTCACACGTTTGCCTAAAAATATTAGGCTAAAAATATTTATTTATTACTAGACTAGTGTAATAAATACTAGTGTTGTCTAAAAGAAATAGAAAACATGTACATTTCCTCTTTCTTCGTGTCAAGTTAGGGAAAGTTTGGAAGAACTTGTCAAAGCCAGGGGTGCAGGCAAATGGTCCTTCAAAAACCATGGGTCTTGCAAAATTTCCATCAAATTGCATGGGTCTCGCAGTCTCATTTTTTTTGGCAGTTATAAACAACAAGCTGCATCTGGCAGTCTCAATTTTTTTCCACAAAGCTGTCTCTGATTTATCTGTCTGTTTTTACAAACACCGTCTGAATGTCTTAGAGTCTGAACATCTTGTGCTTGCATTTAAAACACTGTGAATTTTCGGTCTCAAATTTAAATAATCGTTATGTCTCGGTTCACAAAGAAAAAAGTGCCAGTCTCACCTTCTTGTCAAGTCTCACAGTTACCTTAAAGCTAGTCTAGCCTGTGACAGCACTAAAACAAGTGGATGCTCTAACAAGCTAATGGCAGACTACATTGTAATTGGCTATTTAAAGGTGAATAATTTGTTTAAGTTTTATTAAATAATAAAAATGACAATTATTGATACACAAATTGTAATAATTTCTGGTTTAATAGTAGTTGATAATCGAAGTTATCCAACCAACTGTCCAACTGTCCAACCAGTCTTCCGTCCTCCCACCCTCTCCCCCTCCTCAACCCTCCCCACTGCAACCTCCACTAGATCTATTTGTAAGCCAGCCTAAATTTAACTCAATTACAATGCTTTTTTGACTCTGTGGTTGAGTAACGTGACTGTACTATTGAGATTATTTTGAACTCTCTTTTCCCAGAAACGTCCTGAGCCTCGCCGATCTCCTACTGTAGGACTACCTTACAGTCCAAGCCGGGCAAGCTCTCATCGCCGAGTTCATGTTCAGCACCTGGACCTCTCCAAATATGGGTATGAGAACAAACAGTTACTATATAGCTTTGTTTCCATAAGATTATTAATAACTTTGGCTCTTCTAGTAACTACACTCACTCACTGACTGTCACAGGACATCAGTGGAATGTGATTAAATGAACTTTGTTTATACATTTTGTGAAAACATTATCTCTTTTGTAGGCTGGAAGATTTTGGAGACTTTCCAAAGTCAGTTATTGCTGGAATCCTTCAGCATCTCAAGCCAAGGTAAAGAGCTATCCAGTTATTAATGATGTTCGCCTTTCTGTAATTTTCAAGCTACATCATAACTCATTCAACATACTGTAGTAAATGGTTTGAAGCCAGGAGTATCAGTAGTTCATGAATATAGAGTTGTGACTGACTGAAAAGTGGTAAGTGCATTTCATGTGGTGGTGGTAGAAGTCTGGTATGTTGAAACTGATTGGTCAGTTTTGTTGTGATGTTATTTGCTGTGGTGAATTTGACAAACTGGATGTCCTCTTGTGTGTATTGTATGACTTATATGGCAGGAACAAGACTGAGTAAAATAAATTTGCCAATCAGTCTGCAGTGCAAACAAAATTCGGTATTAAGTCTGTTCGATTTTATGAAGTTCATTTTGTGAATTGTTCAGCTTGTGCAGCAATTGTAACCTGGCCGCAGGACCTAAAAACAGCCATGACCCCATCCCCTCTCCCCTCAGTCTCCCCTCAAGTCCGTTTTAGGTAAACAAGATGCGTGGAAATTATAGCACTAGAAAAAAGATTGCAGTTGTACGTTTACTCACCTTTTCTTTTCTCTATTTTCAATAGCATGGCAGTTGACCAAGAATTGCCTTTGGGTTTAGAAGTTCAACCAAAGCAACATTCAAGTCCAAGAGCTGAGGTACTGCCAGGCGGTAAACAAGTGAAAGCTGATATGAGCAAAGACCTGAATAAATCGGAACAAATACCGACGACTCTGGAGCAAACTGTACTTGATGAAAACTCGCGAATGTTGCTTGATATTGATATTAACTCACACTTCACCCCTCCTGTGGAGGAGGTAGTTACAGATGAGGAGAGTAGTGACAGGATCTTGGGTAACTCCACCCAAGGCACAAAACTGGAGTCAAGCATGATTAAAGCAGTCAGTGATAAACTGACAGCAGCAAGGCAAGGACGTGTTTTGTTGCCTCTTTCTTCAGTCGGTGTTCCTTCAGACCGTCAGTCCAAAGCCAAACCACACCACTGTATGAACTCTATTCCGCGTAACTTGGATTTAGGCGTAGCAATGGAACCTGTTGAGCTTGTATCAGTCACGCCAACTCCCACAGGAACCCCAAGAGAGGAGGTGGCAGCTCAAGACTCTCAGCTGTGTGCTCTGGTCAGCAGCTCTCTAGATGTGACTTTGGCTGCAAGCGAACTTGTTTCACCGAGTGACGATCACATGAACCAGTACTGGCCCGTCAGAGGACATATGACTTCAGCACTGAGGTAAGCCATCTTTCATTGAGGTAAGAGTCTATACATGAGCATTGGCGACTACTGGAAACAAGCGGTGATCAAGCCTGAAAATCGAACTTGCTAATCAAACAATTGATTAGAGCCATTATTATAATCAGAAGCATATCACCTAGACTAGGTGATATGCTTCTGTTATAATCTATTATCCTTACTTTCAAAATAACAAAACTAAGGGTCGAGAGGTTCAGTGGGAAAAAAGGCAAAGAAAGTTCAGTGGGTAGAACAATTCGTGGCATAATTATTTTACTGTGGCTATGACGAAACCTTTTTGTAAGCTCCCTGTTGTAAGGTAGCCCACTTAACTGTGTATCCACGACGAAAACGAAACCGACAAACGGACTTGTAACAGACCGACTTAATTTGACTAACAATAAGACGGACCTAAAACCGACCAATTTGACTAACAATAGACGGATCGAAACTGACCAATGACTGATGACAAACTTTACACGAGTCTTACAGCCAATACCATAAAAACTGATTTTCAACGGACCAGATTTATAACATCATCGACTGACAAACACTATTCACTTGACTCTGAAGATGACTTCCGTTCAGGTTGTGGAAACGTCAGTCACCGACAACAGTTCTTTTCAGAACTTCCCTCAAGCGGATAATCACTCTATACGAACTATTAACTGTGTATATATTTCGAAAAGACTCTTGGTTTGATAAAAAAGATTCGTTGTATGAATACTAGAAAAGAAAAAAGTGAACCAAGAGACCATGGCCTAGGTCATAGTGTCTTGGTCGGAACTGCAGCAAAACTTTATTAACAAAGTGAAGTGTGGGAAGAATGGAGTAACGCAGTTGGTTTTTAAAAGATTGTGATTGGCTGAAAGATGACAGATTCCCTCAGAAACAGACAAACCCACTCGAAAATCAAAATCAATTAAATCATAAAGATTTGCAGAATTCTGTCAAGTGGCACTAACTTGTTGTCATTACTCTCAGATATTCTCCAACTCCAGTGCACGCCCCAGCGCCAACGCCCATCAGTCCAGAGAGATATGGGCACTACTCTCGGACGCCACAGACCAGGGAGCATAGCACTTCTGTCACGTCACGTCACATCAAAAGATGGGAAACACTAAGCAGTGTGTACGATCAAGACGAAACAGAGATAAGTCGTGAGGCTCTAGGCAGCCCTGAGGGGGAGGGGAATGAAATAGCTGTGGAACCAGTATTTTTAACGCAAGAGGTTCTGTCACGTGACCCGAGTCTCACACCATTATTGACCAGGAAAGACACTGAAGAATGGCCACAAGACAGAATGATAATAAATATCATTGAGAATGACGTACCGTCACGTACGGGACGAAGCCCCAGCCCCGGGAGTAAAACATACATCCCTCAGGATATTCTGGCTGAATTCCACGGGGATCTTTATGGAAGAAAAGAAATGCGAATAGCAGGTCAAAAAATGATGGGCAAGCTGAATGTTGTCAAAGAACCTGAGATGTCAACAGATTTCCCAGCGTACATTGCACCTGCTTGGAGACCACCTCGATCAAGGACTCCAATTCAGTTCTTAGAAACACCATCTCGAAGAGCCCCTAAGCCCCTTAGGCAGCCCCCGGCGGAAAGCGTGCCCAAATCCTTAACCGTTCAGCCACTAGCAAGACGTGTTCTGCGAAGACCCAAGAGTACCCCTCCCCGTATCAGCTCCCCAAGGGAGTTCAGAGATCTGCCAGTACAACAAATTCTGTCTGATTCATCACTACCTGCTAAATTGACACTAGACGATGAGGAAGGGTTTTCAATGGTCGCGCAGGTATCATCTCCCTCTGGGGATACTTGTGGTTCCATCCCTCCTCCCCCGTCTCCGGAAGCCCTCTTGGTAGGCACAATGGTTCCCAGTGCATCCAGGCTTGATCCCGTCAGTGAGGTAGAGGAGAAAAGCAGTGTAGCTTCTTGTAGTGTTGTTGATGGGACGAGCCAAGTGGAAGGTGTCGCTAACCTGTCAGAGGTTGAGGAAGAAGTTGATATAGGCCAGGAATCCCAAAACAACGAAACTGGAAGTAGTGAAGAAAAAGATCAACAATCAGGTTTTGAGGTGACAGAAACAGAAAAAGCTGAACAAAGTCCGGTAGTTGAATTGGTTGAGAACTTACACGGCCATACTATTTTCTCGTCTGTTGATGGAGAAGCTATCATTGACAAACAAAATCCGCTTACAGCAGATGCTGTGAGCGATGAAATAACCCGAGACCAAACTGCACACAACGAGGACGAGGCGGAAAAACAACAAGAAGAGATTCCTAATGAAGCTAACACGACTGGAGAGGAGGATTCACGCGATAACGATGCTGTGGCTCCTCCCCACCCCCCAGGGTCGCCAGACATTGTTAGTACTCCTGATTTTACTGAGGGGGTGGACATGAGTCTCGATCTTGAAGCCGAGTTACGTGCGGCCATGGAAGGACTGGATGACTTAGTGGACGCTGAAGAAAGCGGAGGTAAACGGACTTCACCTGAACTGGAACCTTGGTGATAACGACATCATATCGCTGTAAAATCGAGTTTAAAGTTGTTCACTTTTTGCCGCATGATTTTTAATTTAGCAGTGTAAAATCTTAATACAAACGTATTCGTGTAGAATGTAGGCCCCATGTCCTGGGAAACAATTCAAATAGATTAAAGTTTTTGTTTTAAAGTTTTCCAGCTGAGTTTAGTCACGTCATTTGACCAGAACGAAATTAGAATTTTAAAAAGATGCGAAAACATTTAAGATTCGGTTGGAGGATTAACAAAACAAATACCCATCAGTCAAATTAAATCTTAACTACACTCACCGACTCCAATTATAGCACCATTATCGACGAAGACACTTTTCTATGACTCCTGTCCCATCGATATTTAAGTAAATCTAAGTATTTGTTTTGAATAAGCGGGATCACGAAAGCTTTTTCTCATCTGCAGTCAACTTGAACTTGCAATTTGTTATTCATGACGTTAGTGAGTTTGTAAGAAGAATACATTAAAGATAATGAAAGGCTCTTTGAAAGAAAACATTTGACGACGGCAAAGACCAAAGGATTTTTCCGTTGTGTACAGCACGTTTCTGAAGCTTGCTTTTATTGATGCCCTTACCACCTTTATTGAACTGAAAAAGCGGAAAAAATTTAAGTGGTTGTCATCTCGTTCTGGTGCAAACAAACAACCTCATTTTACTTTCTTAAACATCTCAAGAGACAAACCTCTCCCTGCGGCCTTAGTTAAGATGAACACGACGATGAACAGTTCAGCCCAAGGTCCTTACAACTGTGAAGGCTCAACTTTTCCAGAATCAGACAAGGAAAGGCGAGCTTTTGAACAATTTTGCGGATGCATAATACCGCCAGACACTTGGCATTCGGTGGTAGAAGTGGTGCTCAGTAAATTGTTGCTAATCATATCGGTTCTAGGGAATTTGCTCGTCATAATCGTTTTACAGCGGATGAAGCGGAGCGGAGATCATTCTGGGGCAATGAAACTCCTCATCCAGAACCTATGTGTGGCCGACATGGCTGTTTGTATTATCTACAACATTTACGAATTCGTAGGGATCGATTCAAAGGCTTCCATAACACCTGTTTGTAAACTCATTGGCGGCTTATCTTGGACTACACTGTCTGCCTCGTCCTGCCTGATATGCTGTGTTACAGCAGAACGTTACCTGGCTGTTGTCAAACCATTTGATTTTGATGTTAATACTCGCAGAACAGTTCTTATGGTTGTATTTTCTTGGTATTATTCTCTTATCTTCACTCTACCGGATTTTTACTTCTTAACGAGGCAGGAAGCACGATTTTGCGGGCGAGGAATTATTCCGTTTTGTTCGTACGACTATATTCAAGGTACCGATATTACAGTGATGCTTCTGATGACTTTGTCAGCAACCTTTCTTGTTCCACTTATTTTTATCTTGGCCGCCAATATCGCTGTTGTGCGGTCACTACTGCAAAGTCAAGGGTCAAGACTTTTCCGAAAGTTTCGTCGCCCGAATGACCAGGGAAGAGGAGGAGTCGTATTTATTGTGCTCTTATTAACCGCCATCTTTGTTTTGTGTTCGGTGCCCTTTGCTACATACCTACTGTTAATTGCAGTGTCTGTGACAGTACCAAAGGAATTCGCTATAGTAGCTTACTATCTTATGCTTGTCAACAGCACAGCTAATGCTTTTGTCTACTCATTTTTCAGTTCTGTATTCCGCAGAAACTGCATGGAATTATTTTCACCAGTGTTTATGTACTTTAGAAGTTTACTGAGACGTGCGCGACTTAATTTGTGATCTTTTTAGAAAAACGGAATGGAGTCTTCTCCAAAGTGTCCCAGAAGCGACTCAAAAGTGATTCTTCATGTAATAAATTTGATTATAACTAGAAATTCTGAGTACTCAGTTTATGTACTAGCTGCGGAGTGCAATTTGCTTTCAAAGATTTTGTACGTTGTCGACATCTGCCAGGTTGTGGAATCGTGGAAAGTACTTTTCGTCTGTTTACTTTAATATTTTGATTTGCCTTCTCAATCACTTTCATTGTATATTTTTAAGCTTAGTTATTATGGAGAGACGTAAAAAATAAGATTTTATATTTCCTGTAGAAATTTGTAATTACTTATATATACAATGCAAATCGAGAAAATCCTTATGCATAGCAAAAAAACAATGTTATTAACTTTAAGAGTGCGGGTTCTACTTTCGTCGTTTGCCTTCTCGTCCAGTGTACTATGAAAAGACTAATCGAGTATTTTTACAGTTATCCTCTTTCACACACAAGGGATCACAGGTGCAAAGAAAACGCAGAGGAGCCAGCGGGCAAGTAAGCCTTTTCACGAGCTTTTCTGATTTGCATAAAATTACATGTGAACAAAATGCAAAGCCATTGCTCTCACAGAATGGAATTTGCCGTAGCCATGGTTTGGTAAGTTAAACGTTATGGCGCCTTAGGTACTGCCATGTTCACCAGGGAAGTTTTAAAGTCAGACATTAGATTTCCGATTATCCTAACCCATAGAAGAAATGCGAAACAGTTCAAAAGTCGAAAGTGGCGTAGGTCTGAATCACCAAACTAGCACCAAGGCAGAATGCCTTAATTTCACCTCAGGTTTTAGAGCGTTTTTATCCCATCAAACTTTTTGAACGAGACCGCGCTGCGTCAGTTGAGTATATATAGAAGTGACCAAAGACAAGTTCAGTTTCTTTTTTTGTTGTTGTTCTGTTTTTGTTGAAGTAGTATAACAGAAACCACAAGATACTACAGCAATGTACTTAAATAATAATAATAATAATAATAATAATAATAATAATAATAATAATAATAATAATAATAATAATAATCACTTTATTTAAGTGTCGATGTATTTAGCACTAATGTGCTAACTGGGGACACTGTACATAAAGAAACAAATATTTCAAATATAACATAAACTATTAAGAATCCCAACTGGTGGGAGGCTGACCAGTTGGCTATTTACACAACGCGGCCGAGGAGTTGAACTCGGGGCTACCGAGAACAAATCCAGATAGCGGTAGGGCGGAGGATTTGAACCAGATTTCAAATCCAGCGCCCTAAACCACTCGGCCACGCCGCCTCCTTATCATGAATAGGGAGCTTAAGCACGCGCGTTTTTGAGACGCGGACGGCAACCGGAAGAGAAGATTTCGCATGCTTGGACCGTATTGTCCCCCAGATTTTTATACTACTCATCTCTAATGAAGAAAAGATACTTAGCAATGTGAATATGGTTGTGTGAGGACAAGTTTAAAGTGAAAAAAGCTCACTTCCGGTTACCGTCCGCGTCTCAAAAACGTGCGTGCTTAAGTTCCCCATTACATGGTGGGATGGTGCGATAGAAAGAAACCTTGGATTCATTCGGCTCTTGATACCTCCTCCTGCACTGTAGAGGCACGGTGGCCTCATGGTTAGTGCGAGCGGACCGGGTTCGAGCTCTCCTGTGTTCTTAAAGGTTTTACGAAAGATTGAAAGATAATTTGACTCGGTAATATCTATGGGAGGGAATTCGAAAGACAAAAACAATCTACTCCATAGGAACAACCACGCACGTGGTAACGTTACCTGCGGAAGAACTGACCTTGCGAATGACGCCTACATGCACATGGGGGATAACTCTTCCAGCCTCATCCTCCTTGGTTGAGCACCAGGTTGCGCACATTTCTCTCCTGGAGCAGCACATCGTTCCGATGAGAGAATTTCTATCGGTTCTTACCCCTATTTTAAAGCGGCCACCCATAATTTAACACACGTAGTTTGGCTTTGTTTTGGAAATGGCGATGACAGATAAGAATCCGAAATAGAAAAAGACCATCGTGTGATGTGATAGAAACATTCAAACATATGTGATTATCTTGACGTTATTCCATGTTCACTAAGCACTTTAAACCCGATGGTAAGTACACGAACCCATTAAGCAGCCACCTTCCATTTCCCTGAGGGTGCAGGGCGCTGTACTGAGAACAGGCATGCATGTAATGGTGATAATTATTTGGAAAGCAACTAAAATAAGCAAACAAACAAATTAAATAAAGAAACAAACAAACATCGGAGAACATCGGCCCATCTTCTCCACCCAATTCCAGTCCCTCTCCTAAAAGTTAGGCGTAGGCGTCCAGTTTCCGGTGTAAGAACGCGGAACATTTCTGAGGAGGTCTTTCGATTTTCCGATGAAAGCGGGGACAGTTCTACTGAATATTCATCAGTTTTCAATTCATTTAGGTAGAGAATGCCTCTTGTAAAGGTAACTCTGAGGTGTTAAAACACCTTGGTCGTAAACTTGGCCGGCCTTGCTTGACTTACTTGATCGTTTGATCTGCTGATTAAGAAAGAATATGTCGGATCTGGAAGACATCGAAGATATATTCGAGGTAGGGAGTTAGAGTAACTTCTTTCATGGTAATTCTAAGAACGTTAATTTCAGAGTAAAATGAACATTTATCAACATGTATGTGTAATTATTACTCGGGTAGACTACAGTTTTGATATATAAAGTCTCACATGTATGTTTATAAGACTTAAACGTTAGACTTGAGAATGTTTGAGGTTAGTAGTTTATTCTAGCTAAATGTAAGCTTCAATCAGTATACGAGTAGCATACACACGTTTGTTCAAAGGCCAACTGCATGTGGTTGGCGACAGGAAATCAGACGGGAAAGAAAACTCGATTTATTTGTATGACGTCGGGCGGATATTATGTAGCTTGCTGGCTGTGTTGAAGAGATCTGAAGAATAGGGTCATTCATCTTGGGACTCTGAAGTTGACACTGTGTCGAGTTGTTTAATCATGTGTTTACAGCAGCTGAATAGCAGAGATATCGGAGACGTCACGTATTGTTATTAAATTGATTTTACTGTTGAAACTAAGAATTTTGCTGTTTATTATAAAGTGGCCAGTATAGATATTAAAATATGAATTTACCAAAAAGTAGTTGTTTGTGAAATGACGTTTTCCCCTAACGGATGAGACGAAAGCTCTAAAAGCTAGCAGAATTTTTTTCTACAAGTTACATGGCTTCGATAAGCTAATTAAAACTGAAAGGACCATCCACGAGTACAGGTTTGCTTAGCTCACCATTAGAGAAATATCAACCCTAAAAAATCAAAATCTGGAGATTGGCGACTTCGCCTCTTCTCAACTTCCAAAAGCTTAGTACGTAATTGAATTCCGCACTTTCAACCAAGAAAATGCATCAAATATCCCCCAACATTTCCCAGAATCAGGCTAAATGTAATAGTGTGAAAACATGCTTCATATTCGGGAGATTTGGTGACTCATTGGAGACTGGGGAATTTTGTAGCTCTTGCCGCGTTTGCATGGGAATGAAATAATTGGTTTAGTATACATACGTGTTACAAATAAATTGTCGTACCTTGTGGTGTATCATTTGTTGTTAACTCCTCTAGCTAGTCTGGAGCAATTTTGGGGAGTTGCCTCAGTTATTTTATAATGTTATTTTGCCTGCTGTTTGAAGCAAATAAATCAACTGAAATTAACCCTGTTATCTCAACTCCTCCATAGAATTACAATTTCAGTCAAAATGTATCTGCTTTAATATACTAATTCAACCTGGCACATGTCCACTTTGGAAAAGGGTGTTACAATATAGTATGACTAGTATCCAGTGTATCTTATGACCCCCGAAGAGTATGCACTGACAAGTTGTTGACTAATTTTGTAAATTTGGTTGAGCTATCCCATTTTTTGCCAAAGTTTAACTTGATCTTTTGCGTAATAATATTACAATCTTTTGAAAACAAACAAACAAACAAACACTTCTTTCATGTGACTTTTCATGTTTACAACCATTTATTTCTTAGGGATGGTTAGAGAAACCAACAGAAGAAGATACTAGTAAGACCAAGGGCTGGTTAAAAAAGTCTTTTACCAAGAAATGGAAGAAGGGCTACTATGTACTCCGAAAATATTGTGCAGGTGATCAACCTTTCCTTCAGTGGTTTGATAGAGAGGATGGCTGGCGACGGCAAATGCCGCGTGGGACATTAGAACTGTTTCCAAGATACAAGGTGTTTAAAAGACTGGAACACAGAGCTAGGCAACATGTTTTTGAGATAAGCACTGATGCTGAGACATTCATATTGGCTGCTGAGAGCGAGACTGTCATGGATCTGTGGGTGATCCAATTACAAATGCAAAGTACCTTGAATCCACGAGTAGCAGGTGGGTGTAGGTTTGATGTTGGGTAAAAGTGCGAGATCGTTAAGTACATGGTGATTTTCACCAGTAGCTAGCTCACCAGTCCCTCTTTTTACACCCGAGCAGAAAATATACCTCTGGCACTTGAGTCCTGGGCAGCCGACAGCATACATCATGGTAGAATATTATGAAAAGCTTTTGGGCTTAAACATGGAGTGATCCTATATGACGAGGCTGAGGTGTTCAGCCTGCCAGTCACAAATCCCAACAGACAACCAATGCTTCTATTTGATTGGCTTATTCACTCGGATGTAATTTTTGCGCATTGCCACAAAATTCTGTAGAGCCATCAGGTATAATTTTCTGTTTTATTTTACAACTAAGTAAACAATGCCTTTTGAACTAAATGAACGGTAGCTTCAGGAGAAGAGTTTACAAATGAAATTGACTTTTTTAATTTCAACTTTATAATTTTGTTCCTCCGCTTGCAAAAGCCTATCGTATGAATTCATTCTGTTCACTCAAATTTATAAGATGCTGTGTCTAGTTCTTTTGATGCCAGAGTGTCTTTGCTCCTTCAAGGATTAACATGGTTGCAAAATAAGTTTGGAAACTAAACTAGTAAAAAAACCCAGATACAAGCAGACTGATTTACAACCGATTTAAAGCATAATAATTCTTGTAACTACTCAGATCGTTTAGTTTTTACTATTTTGAGTAGTTTTTTTGCTTATTTAAGTTTAATGTATATTCTTTTGCTGTATGATATTCTCTGTATTAAATGCAAAATAAAATGGTTGTTGTTGTTGTTGACTGGGAAGGTAATATATTATATCTACAGTAATATGGTTATTCTTCAGCCAGTTATCTAAAAGAGATTTCATGAGGTGAACACTGGCTGCTGTCGTACTCTTGCTGTTAAAATTCAGTCGGCCTTTTACAAACGCAATTTTTGTTTTTCTTGCATTCAGCAATGAGTTTCCTTCTCCTTTCTAACGTCAATATTCAGGCAAAATCTCACTTTGCCATTTTTTAAGTTCTCTTGTTTCTTTGTAGTACTTTTTGTTTCCAATTTCTTTGCTCTGAATATAGTTTGAGAGATAACTCAGTGTTGTTCAATTTGCATTTTGTTTGCACCATCATTACGCTCATAAATCTGAATAATTTTGAATATCCCACCAAACTCCGTCTGTGTTCACAGGCTAACCAACATCACCTCTTTGGAAATTTGTTTTCGTTCTCGGCATGCGGATATAAATGGAAACAGATAGCTCACTGATCGCAGGCATCAGCTTTGTTATTTTATTTAGCTGCAAAATTGAATATTCCGTGAAGCAACGAAGATAATTCATCATTTTTGTCCTTCCAAAGGCATCTTCTAAAGTGTTAATATAAGTTTTATTTTGACTCTGTTTTTACTATTTACCTTATATTATTCTACGTAAATGACTCCGTTGTTTTAACAAAAAAAAAAA